CCTCCTCCTCCTCCTCCTGCCCCTCGACCTCCTCCTCCTCATCCGCTTCTCCTCCTCATCCTCCTCATCCTGGCCTTGCAGCTGCTGATCCTGCGCTGAATTTTCGTCCACCCTCCTCCTCCATCCTCCGCCCTCCTCCTCCGCTTCCTCCTCCTGTTCATCCACGCGAACATAACCATCATCATCGTCGTCGTCCCCATCGCCGTCACGGATCAACATCATCAACATCATCACCGTAGTCGTCAATACCGCTGTCGTCATCACGACCACCACCACCACCACCACCACCACCACCACCACCGTCATCACCACCAACATTGCCATCACCATCAATCGCCATAGTCAACACACTGACATCATCAGCAGCAGCATCATCAACAGCAGCATCACCAGCATCATATATCATCATCACCGTCATCATCCATTTCATATTATTCTTCATCGTTATCATCACGATTCCATCAGCATCACCATCGTCATTAGCAGCATGATCATCAGCATCATCATCATCATCATCATCATCATCATCATCATCATCAGCATCAGCATCAGCACCATCATCACCATTATCAGCATCAGCATTGCAGCAACAATCACAAGTATTAACAGCGCCGTCGTCGTCAACAGTAGCATCATCATCATCAGCAGCATCATCATCATCATCATCATCAGTATAAGCATCAGCATCATCATCATAATCAACAACATATTCATGTTAGCATCCTGAACCTCCTTATCATCCTAATATTCACCATCATCAGCAGCATCGTCATCACCATCAAACTCAGCACCCAAATCATCACTCACCAACATCAAGACCATCGCCCTCATCCGCACCCGCAGCCTCGTCATCGTCCTCCTCATCAGATTAACCATCATCATAACCATACAGCATCATCAGCATCATCGTCAACCGCGTCATCATCGTCATCGCCACCATCGTCGCCATCATCAGCATCAGCAGCAGCATGATCAGCACTACCATCATCAGTATCAGCATCATCATCATCACCATCATCATCACCAGTATCATCATGTTGGATTGGGATAGATTGGTGGGCGGTGACAGGCTGGGCTGACGGCTGGGGGCTGAGAGAACTGCGAGCCTTCCAAGGCGAAGCCGCCACGCGGCAGAGTCGCCCTGGCTTGGGAAGAGAGAGCGGGGAGGAGGTCGCGGAGCACGAGGACCCAAAAGAGACCAGAAAAACGGCCCCAAAATGTACCGACGATGCTGCAGCACGCCCCACCTCCCCGCGAGTCCCCATGAGCACTACGCTTCACTGCACGAAGCGCCAACCCTTGCGAGACGAGAGCCCCGTGGGCCCGCATCTCGGGCGGGAGCTCCGCGTAAGGAACCGCACTCGATTCTTCGAGCTACAGGGACTGCGACAAAGTGGTGCCCAAAGGCCAAGGGATTGCCCGGCGACAGCCCAGCTTTGAACAAGAACCGACCTGGGGCCCTGCATCCGTCCTGCTCTGGCACTATGGGTTACTTCGAGTCGCACGAGCAAGCGACGTCTCAGGCGAGAGCCTGCACGTATAGTTGAGAGCATATGGCTGTGCCACGAACGCAAGAATGCAGCAATACGCTGCCCTAGCGAAATCCCAGCCGAACCTCATCTTGCAAACGTGCAAGCCCGCATACGCACCAGTGTTGGGAAATCATATCTGGATGTGCTCGGCGCTAAAGGCAGGGACACATCTTGAAAACGAGCGGACGTCCACATGTGTAACAACTGCATTCGTTGAAACAAGCTGCGCACTGCGCTCAAGCGAGCATCTCATATTGAAGCAAGTAGCCCTCCATCCGTGTAATAGTTTGAAAACGACCAGCGCTCCATCTGCAGAGTGTTGGTTTTGTACGGCTCTGGGACAATAATGCGTAAGGTTAGGTCGGGCATGTCCTCATACAGGCGGATTTTGAAAGATAATCAAACATAGTCAAATAAATATGAAAGCACATGCAAAACATAGTCGAAACATCGTCCCCGAACGATGTTCTGACTATTTTTGGATATTCCTCCTGTAGAGGGACATGCCCGACTTCAGCGCAGAGCGGGATAAAAACATGCGTAAGGAGGTCTCGAGCGGAACGGCCAGCACAGCCTACAGGGCGGTTGTTTAATACATGGGATAAAAAACATATGATTTTTCATACATAACTCATGTATGAATAAATTTAGGCATGAACTCATCGTTGTTTTTAATACTAAATCCGTGCATTTTTAATACATGATCCGCACGCGGAGCATGTATTGAACACGGCACTGTACGGGCACGTCTGGTGGCACAGGCGCTGGATGCCCACTCCTCCAGCTCCGGCGCCGCAGACCCAGACCCCCGACGTCGCGGGTGGCAGGGGTGCTATTTGCAGCCTAGGGGCGGCAGGTCTTGTTGCTGTGAATGTTAGACGTCGCGTTTTTTTTCATGACGTGACCCTACAGAAGTCTGGACCCCTTTGCGAGGGCCGGTCTTGCGTCCTGAATCGTTCTGTGACGCTCCCGAGGCCCGGCGAGGGCCCCCTGGAGGCCGAGAGGAGCGAGGAACCTCCCGTCGATGTTTTTTACACAGCGCGAGGCGGTCTGGGAGGCCCTCTCAGTTCGCCAGCCCCGCCCTGGGTCCTGGTGATGGCGGTGCACACGCCCCCCATGGCTTGGCCATAGGGTTAGGTCGGGCATGTCCCCCTACAGGCAATTTTTGAGGGGAATCTCTATATATATATATATATGCACATATATATGTATATACACACAGATGAGAAATATCCAGGCGAAGGACGCAACCAAATGCAGTTGTAAGTAACGCGTTGTGGGTGACGCTTTCGGTGGAGCCCCCTATGGGGCCACGAGAGGGACGTGCCGAATTGGGCGGGGGAGACGCATGCGGGCGGTGCCACTGGGGCCTTCGGTGGGGCTCCCCATGGGCCACGAAACCCTGTCCTTGGTGTGGCTGACGCATGCGGGCGGTGCCCCTCGCTGGAGATCCCGACGAAGCCCCGAAACGCTGTACTGGTCGGGGGAAACGCATGTGGGCGGTGCCGTTGGGGTCTTTCTCTGGAGCTCCCTGGGCCACGAAACGTTTACCCGGGGGGGGAGGGGCGCATGCGGGCGGTGCAAGCGGGGCACTTCGGTGGAGCTCCATGTGGGGCCACGGGACGGGGGGACGCATGCGGACGGTGCCAGTCGGACCTTCGGTGGGGCTCCATATGGGCCCACGAAACGCTGTACTGGGTGTGGCTGACGCACGCGGGCGGGCTACTGGAGTTCCCTACGGGGCCACGAAACGCTGTACTGGGTGGGGGGACTCACGCGGGTGGTGCCAATGGAACCTTCGGTGAAGTTCCCTACGGGGCCACGAAACGCTGTACTGGGTGGTGGCTGACGAATGCGGGCGGTGCCACTAGGGCCGTCGGTGGAGCTCCGTATGGGCCCACGAAGCGCTGCACTGGATGATGGCTGACGCATGCGGGCGGTGCCACTGGGACCTTCGGTGGAGCTCCCCACGGGGCCACGAAACGGTGTACCGCGTGGGGGGGACGCATGCGGGCGGTGCCACTGGGGCTTGGTGGAGCTCCCAAACAATGGGGCCGCGAAATGCAATACTGGGTGGTGGACGACGCACGCGGGCGGTGCCATTGGGGTATTTCTGTGGAGCTCCCTTACTGGGTGGTGGCTGACGAATGCGGGCAGTGCCACTAGGGCCGTGGGTGGAGCTCCGTATGGGCCCACGAAACGCTGTGCTGGGTGGTGGCTGACGCATGCGGGTAGTGCCACTGGAGCCTTCGGTGGAGCTCCCTGTGGGGCCACGAAACGCTGTAACAGGTGGTGGCTGACGCATGCGGGCAGTGCCACTGGAGCCTTCGGTAGAGCCCCATTGTGGGGCCACGAAACGCTGTGCTGGGTGGTGGCTGACGCATGCGGGCGGTGCCACTGGTGCCTTCGGCTATGGGACCACGAAACGCTGTGCTGGGTGGTGGCTGACGCACGCGGGCGGTGCCACTGGTGCCTTCGGTGGAGCCCCCTATGGGGCCACGAAACGCTGTGCTGGGTGGTGGCTGACGAATGCGGGCGGTGCCACTGGGGCCTTCGGTGGAGCTCCCTGTGGGGCCACGAAACGCTATACTGGGTGGTGGCTGACGCACGCGGGCGGTCCCACTGGGACCTCCGGTGAAGCCTCCTTATGGGGCCACGAAACGCTGTGCTGGGTGGTGGCTGACGCATGCGGGTGGTGCCACTGGGGCCTTCGGTGGAGCTCCCTGTGGGGCCACGAAACGCTGTACTGGGTGGTGGCTGACGCACGCGGGCGGTCCCACAGGGATCTCCGGTGGAGCTCCCTACGGGGCCACGAAACGCTGTACTGGGTGGTGGCTGACGCATGCCACTGGGGCTTTCGGTGGACCTTCTTATGGGGCCACGAAGCGCTGCACTGGGTTGGTGAAACGCAGGGAGGATGGAGGAGGGGGAGGAGGGGGAGGAGGGCGAGGAGCAGGAGAGGAGGAGGAGGAGGAGGAGGAGGAGGAGGAGGAGGAGGAGGAGGAGGAGGGACGCGGGGCGCTGTCTCTTCAAAACGACGACCCAACACCACAGGATGGTTGGGAACACTCAAAACATCTTCAAACATTGTCAAACACATAATCGACACATCGTCCCCGCATACTATTCTTGTACAACTATGTTTGAATCTTCCTCCTGTGGAGGGACATGCCCGACTCAACCATAGGGAGGCATATGCGCTCCGGCCCCGTGCCCAGACTGGGGCCGCCCGACCCTGGCATATCGCCGCCCCCCCGCCCCCTCCCTGTGATGGCCGCGCTCCGCCCGCTCCGCCCGCCTGCCCAGCCAGAAGGGGGCCCAGGGCCAGGATCCCCCATATTTTACCACATCTTCTGGGTGCTCGTCTTCCCCCCCCCCCTTCCCATAGTCCCCTTATATTTTCCAGGGGATCGACGATAGCTTGTGCCTGCGTGGTTTTGCCCCTCCTGTCCACCCTCCCCCCCCCCCCGGCGCGCCAGGGGCTCAGCTCGGGCCGGCGTAGCAGACCACGGCGGCCCCCGTGAGGTGCGGCAGGTGGCACGCCGGGCGGGCCGCCGCCAGGGCCGCCGCGAGAGTGGCGCGCGGCAGCGCGCTGGGCCCGCCGCCGCCGGGCCCCGCGGCCTGACCCGCCCAGCGCTCCAGGAGCGCCCGCGCCACCCTGTCGAGGTCGCCCCCGAGCACGTCCCAGAGGGTGCCGACCACCGCCGGCACCCCCTGCGCCAGGAGGGCGAGCGGCAGGCTGAAGGCCTCGTGCTCCAGGCCCTCGGGCACGGCGGGCCGGGCGGTGTTGCAGCCCATGAGCAGCACGGCGGCGCGGGGCGGGCGGTCCTGCGCCCGCCTGGCGGCGGCCTGCAGCGACGTGGGCCCCAGCTCAACCTGCCCCTGGCACAGCAAGCGCCCGGCGGTCTCCCCGTGGCCCATGTACAGGAAGGCGTCGTGCGTGGCGAGGGCCCCCAGCACCTCGTGGGCCTTCGGGCACGCGCCGCCCGCGCGCCCCGACCAGCCGGACGGCGCTGGGGACGACGGCGGCGCGCGCCAGCCCTGGAGGAGCTCGAGCACCGTCCTGCCGGTGATGTCGGTGCCCCCGAGCGGGTTCAGGGCGTAGTAGCCCGTCCTGCAGGGCGACGGCAACAGCCAGACATCGGCGCCAGCTCTGCCTGGGCCGATCCTGGGCCCAGGATCGGTGCACGCGTCTTCCTGGCCCGGGCCTCCAGGGGCTCCAGGGGCCGAAATTGATGAAAAGCCCTGCGCCGTGACTTCTCCACGCCGCACAGAAGTCTTGGTAGTCGACGCACCCCGATGAGGGGGGAACGTCAGGGGGGGGCCAGTTCAAAGGGGGGAGCATCGACATGGAATCGGCGATACATGGCCGATAGATCGGGCCTGAGCGGGCTGCCGGCGATCAGTGGGCGAAGGAGGGATCGATGCACCCCTCCCGAGCCGATCCCCATCCCTGATGGTTGTCGGGCCAGGGCTCGGACCTCTGGCGGCCGTTCGGGACGGCACGGGCCCGCCCGCGGCGCTCCCGGCGAGGCGCGGCGTCTGGAGAGCGCCCTGAGGATGGGAAACCGGGAGGCCGCCGACGAAAACGTCCGATGACCTCGAACCTGCGAAACTCGGGGGCGCGCAAACATGGACTGGCGATCCATGGGTCTGGCGCGCGGTCGCCAAATCCGGATGCGGCCGGTGCCGCCTCGCTCGGCGGCGGAACTCCGCACGGAAACGGGGCCCGTCGCTAATCATGAAGGGGCCTTGGGACACACAAATAAATAAACACAAATAAAAAAGGATTCCCCATACTTTCCCATATTTTATAAGTTTTTGTCTTCCCCACCACTTCCCATATTTTCCCATATTTTCCTAAGGGTCGACGATTCATTGTGTCTGTGTTTTTTTCCCTCCTGAAATCAACGCCCCCTCGATCGATGTTGGCGATGGCCTGAGAGGCCGAGTCTTTCCCCACGGGGAGCCCCGAGGCCATGCCCCCGATGCACCCTGCGACCACCCCCCGCCCAAGCGTTGCCCCTGGAGAGCGTTGTTGCATCATGGCGGCCGTGACCGGCACTGGCCGCCCCCGTGTTCACGGCGAGCGAGGGGGAGAAGTTGACTACCTACCAGACCACCCCAACCCAACCCGAAGACCCGAATTTGACCCGAATTTCGGGTTGGGGGGGGTACGGGTTCCATGTGATTTTTCAGTGTTCCCCGACCCCCCCCCCACTGGAAGTCGAGGATAAATTTGGGCATTCGGGTTGGGTTGGGGTGGTTTGGTGGGTGGTGAGAAGTGAGAAGAAGAAGAAGAAGGCCTTCTCAGAAGGCGGCGCGACTTCTCATGAGCCCTCGCGCCCTCTGGGGAGCGCTCCGTGTCTTCAGAGGCCTCCCAGATGGGGTCGGAGCAGATGGGGTCGGGGGATCGCGCCGCGTCGCCAATGCATCGGCGATGCATCGGCGGTGCACCGCCGACGTCGGCGACGCATCGGCGACGTCGGCGTGGAGAAAATCGGACTCCGCATCGAGCAGCATCGCCGATGCATCGGCGTTGCGGCGCGATCCTCGGACCCCATCTGATCGGACCCCATCTAGGAGGCCTCGAGTCTTCTCGGGGATGGACAGAGCCCCCTTTAATAAAACGCGGGGAGCGAGTATCGCCTCCCAGGGCCCAGTCTCGGTACCTGCGTGGTGCTCGAAACGCTTTCTGGTGATCAAGGCTACAGCAGGCTGGCACATCTCGGGGATGGACAGACCCCCCTTTAGTGAAACGTGATTTAGTGACAACGACCCCGGGCCCAAACCTGGCGGGCGCAAGCCTGGAAAACAACGGCCGCGGCGCCCTCTCGAGAACCGAAAACGGACAATTCACTAATCGACCTGTCAGGGTGGGGGTCCTGTCCACCCTGAAGTCGGGCCTGTCCTCCTACAGGGGGATTTTGGACGAAACATAAAAAATCAAGCAATACCCGAAAACGGTCAACAACTAATCCAAAAAGCGTCCCCTGACTATCTTGACTCTTTTAGAATATTCCTCCTGTGGAGGGACAGGCCCGACTAAAGTCCACCCCCGGTCTTCGGGGATGGCTTAGGAAACTTCTCGGAAAGCCGGGGGGACTTCCGAGCGCCTCCTGGGAAGGCCCGCCCCGTCTTGCCTCCGCCCCTTCGCCCGCCGCCGACCCTGCTGCCCCCTCTCGGCGATGGACAAACCTCCCTTTAGCAAACCGCCCTTTGGTGACAACGGCTTAGGACCGAAACCGACGGACCTGGGCCCGCGAAAATGACGGCCGCGACGCCCTCTCGCGAACCGAGAACGGCCAATTCGCTGATCGACGTGTCAGGGTAGGAGGTCTATCAACCTCCGACCCGCCCCCCTCAGGTGACGCCACGACTCCGGTAGAAGGAAGCAATTCCTGAACACTCAAACTTGGCACGCGCCGGGGAGACAGCGATCGAGGTGCAACTCATCGGACCCGCCGCCAACTTTGTGACATGGGGGGGAGGGGGAGGCGTTGACAGATGAATGTGGCATGAGTGCTCGCTATGTTGTCCCAAGGCCTGTCGTGCTGACCTCCGAGAGGGCCTCGGTTGGTTCCAGCCACTCCCAGGCGGTGCCCGCGCGGAGCGTGACGTCAGAGGCCCCCCGCCTCCTTTCCCCCCGCCCTCGGGCGGGTGGTAATACGGGGTGACCCAAACCCGGAGATCCAACGTATTTAACAAATCGAGGCGGAGGTTTTCGCAAAATTCGGCCCCCGGGGTTCCTCGCTGGGCCTCGGTGACCGTCAAACCAGTACTCGGGATGAAAAACGGGTCCTGGGGAATGAATCGACACTTCGGGGGACCCCGCATTGAAAACATCACGACATCGGATCTCAGGGAACGGGGGGTGAAGAGGAGGGCCCTGAAGAGGCCCGTTGGGGGCCCCTTTGGGAGCCAGCTGGCGCCCGACAGGGGCCCTACAGGGCCCCTTTAAGGGCCCTCCTCTTCACCCCCCGTTCGATTGCTGCCCCCGCTGCTGCCCGCCCGACGCCGCCCCCACCGCCCCCACCGCCAGCGCCCGTGGCAGTCGAACCCGGGGGCAGACGAACATGCTCCGAGAACAGGGGACCCGAGGCCCCCCTCGAGTCATGGACGGGTCACGACGGGAGGCTCTTGCCACTATGTGCGGCCTCTGCGGGCCCCCTGCAGGACCTCGGGACCACAGAAACACGACGGAAGACGGCAGGCCAGCCCCGGGGAAACGGGTCGGGGCCTCTGGGGGTCGAGGCTATGAATAAATCGTGACGTCGGGGATCTGGGGACCCTCCGCTGGCCAAGACGCACAAACCATCCAAGGGCGCCCTCCCCCCAGGATGCACAAGAAGAACGCTGGGATACCTGGTATGAGGTCGGGCATGTTCTCCTACAGGCGGATTTTGAAGATTCACACATGATCCAAATACAATAGAAAAATCGCACCCAGACTATTTCTCCCATCTTTGAATATTCCTCCTGCAGAGGGAAATGCCCGACGTAAGGGTACCCTCCACGAACCGACCTCGACCTTATCCCTCGGTCCGACTGCAACGACCGCTGTCGCCCAGAAAAACAAAACACTCTCACCGACCCCCGATCCTGGGGCCCCTTGGGCCGGGCGCGCCGTCGCCGTGCGAGGAGCCCTCCCCCGCGCCGCGCTGGCGAGCCTCCGCGAGCTGCGCGAGCAGGACGTTCGGAGCCGCGCCCCGGACGACCTCTTTCGGGGATGGACAGACCCCCCTTTGGTAAAACGTGGTCTAGTGAAAACGACCTGAGGCCCAAACCTGGCGGGCGCAAGCCTGGAAAATAACGGCCACGGCGCCATCTCGAGAACCGAAAACGGACAATTCACTAATCGACGTGTCACTGTTGGGGGTCCTGTCCACCCCCGATTCTTGACACCCAGGACGTATGACGAGGCCAGGCCGAGGATAGAGTCGGGCGGGGGCACATCAGGTCCTCTGCGATCAGGAGGCTCTGGAGGCCTCGGGCGCCGCGGCCTTCTCGGAGCGCCCCAGAACGCTCTCTCGCCGTCGCTCGGACGTCCATTTCCCGTGCATGTTTCGGTTCCGTGCGTGTGTTTTGCTGCTCGAGGGTCCAGGATCGTCCTCACTGGTTCTCGCCGAGAAAACATGCACATGCTTACAAAAACCATGCTCGGTGCCGTGCCCACAGGATGCACATACCAAATACCATGCTTGGTGCCGAGAAAACATGCACATGCTTACAAAAACCATGCTCGGGTCAGTCGGGCCCTGCAGGATCCTGCAACATCCTGCAGGGTCCTGCACCCAAGCCCGGGTCAATGCGACCCTCGCCCTGCAGGATCCTGCAAGATCTGGCGCTCCGACTGACCCCCGTTTGCATGGACCCCCGTCTCAAGGCCCCCGACTCCCGCGGAGCGCTCGGTAGACGGAGGGGGGCAAAACATGCACAGAAACAATGCTCGGTGCCGCGTCCACGACGACCTCTTGGCACCCAGGACGCCACGGTTCGCTCGTGTCGGGGGCTCCCGCGGAGCGCTCGGCAGGTGGGGGGGGGCACAGAAGAAGAAACATCTGCAGAAACAATGTTCGGTGCTGCGTCCCGGACGACCTCTTTTGGAAGCCTGGAAATGGGCACCAACACCAATACAGGGGTTTGCCTCCGCAGGGGGAAGATGATCCTAGATTTCGGCGTTGGTGGCAATATTTCGCTCACCTTGGAAGCCAGAATATTACCACCATCACCGAGATCGGAATCCTCTTCCCTCGGTGGAGGCACCCCGCCGATATTGGTGTTGGTGTCAACCTCTGGGCCTGCGACTCTTGGCACACAGAACGCCACGGTTCGCTCGCGCTGGGGGGGATCATCCTCGCGAATCGGCGACGGCGGGCGTGGACCATGAGCAAGATCGGCGTCGTGCTTCTTCACTCGGCTTTTGCGGGACGGCGGATCCGGCTGGACCTCGCGGCCCCAGAGGCAGGGGCACGCTTCCAGCGGCAGCTGCGCCAGGAACGAGTCCAGGAAGAGCACGAGCGCGCCAGGCCTCGCGCGGGCTGGCCCGTGAGTGGAAAGCTGCGCGCTCATGCGCCGTTCCTCCTCCTCCTCCTCCTCCTCCTCCTCCTCCTCCTCCTCCCTATCCTTCCTTCCACATTGTCCCGTCCTTCCTCCTTGTCCTCCTCCTTTTCCTCCTTTTCCTCCTCCTCCTCCTCCTCCATTCCACTTCCTTATTCCCCAAACAGCGCTTGCATTTAGGAGGTCTTACCTCTGGTCTACGGAATTGAGCTGATGTGCAAGTCTGGCGGCTATGTAGTCGCCGTCGCCGCCCCGTCGCCTCCTCGTTGCCGCCCGTTGTCTGGACCAATGTGCAGCTCTGGCGGCTACGTAGTCACGGTCGCTGTCCCGTCGCCGCCTCGTCGCCGCCCGTCGTCTGGGCCTTGTTGTTAATCGCGGTGCACTTCGCATTGCGGCACATTGCGACTTGCACCACACAGATTACTTCACAACGATTGGTCCACACACACACACATATATATATATATATATATATCGCACCCCGTAAATGCTGCACAACATGTACTGCACATCGTAGACTGCGCCATCTAAACTGTACCACATAAAATGCACAACGTGAATTGCACCACATATATTGCTCCATCTTTTGCACCACGTAAATGACATCACACGAGGCGGCACCACAAATATGGTGCATCGCGCAGCTTTCACAACATGTTTTGCTCCAAAACAATTGCGCAATATAGACACCACAGCGAAACATTGTTGCACACAGATCGCAGCACGTAGATTACGATTGTACAGATAGGGTGCACACCATATATGTCCACATCGATTGCACCACATATAATACCCACGTACATTGCACAATGTATATATATATATGTTGCGCAACATATATTGAACATCGTGCAGAGCAGCAAATCAATAAATATAGAGCCACATAGATTGCACAACATGGATTGCATCACGTGGGTTGGTCCATGTACATTGCACAACATATATTGCACAACATCGATTGAACAACCTGAATTGCACAACGCCGGCTGCACCACATATATTGAAACAACACATATAGCACCATGCCGATTGTCCAACGTAGATTGCATCACATGAATAACACCACACAGAGACTGTCCAATATACATTGCACAACCTATATTGCACATCGTGATCTACAACGATATTCAAATCGACCCCCGCCCCCCGTGTCACTTTGGAGAATTAGAATTAATGGTTTGGCAACACCGTCCATCCTAGCTATGAACTCATACCATCCCAGGCAGGCCGGTATCCGCCCTCCTCATCGTCTGCACACGACACTGTGCGCCCGCACTCGTGCATCAGAAATCGTAAATGCTCCAGAATCCTTTGCAACGCAAAATGGAACGCAGTGCACACACGCGCGCGTCGTCGCGCGCGCCTGCCAAAATCCTGCAAAAAAACGGGGTTCCGTAAGCACTTGAAAGAATGTCCCGAAACATATAAAAACACATGGTTTTGCAATGCCAATTTCACAGATGCCTGCGTTCGCGTTCCTGCGAATTCTTATGTAAACCATACGTTGTTCAACCCGTTCATGCAATTCGGCCAAGCGGGCCCCTCGCGCCGCACGTCGAATATATTCGACCGCCCTTGCGCACGTGGGGTGGGGGGCACCATCCGTGTCAAGGAAATCCATGCGGGCCTCAGAGGCTTGACGCGCAGGAGAGCAAGGATCTTCGGCAACGAGGCTTCTACCAGGAGACGGCCCTGATCCCCGCCGTGAGGTCGGCGACCCCACTGATCCCGCCCCAGGACCCTGAGATGTGCGACCCCGTCGAGCCCCCCAGCGTCGTGGAGGTTCAGCAGGATGCCCAGGCTTTTTTTAGGACGGCCAGAGCGTAGTAGGTTCCAGTACTACTTTATCCTGCACTTGTTCTCGGGTAGACGTCGGATGGGGGACCTGCAGGATTGAATCGAGCATTTCCAGACCCAGGCCCCCCAGGACAGGCCCGTCTGGACCCTGAGCCTGGATGTGGCCAACGCGCCAGTGTTGGGTGATCTCAGCGTCGAGGGTACCATCGAGCACTGGCTGAAACTTGTGCGGGCGTTCATGGTTGTCGGCTTGCTCGGGGGTCCCCCGTGTGAGACGTGGAGCGCGGCCAGGTTCAACAGCCTGGCCAACGGCAGGGGTCCCAGGCCGGTGAGATCCAGAGAGCTCCCTTGGGGCATTGAGTGCCTCACTAGTAAGGAAAGGAGACCAGTGGACCTTGGCAATGTTTTGCTGAGAACCATGTGTAGATTCTTGGTGGCGTGTGCGGGGCACGACACCCCCGCTATCATGGAACACCCGGCCGAGGCCCACTGGCGATCGCAGGCTCCCTCGTCGTGGTTGCTGGACGAGGTTCGATATATCCTGTCGTTGCCAGGAGCCCAGAAGGTGACGGTTGCTCAGTGCCTTTACGGATGTGAGTATGAGAAACCTACTACGTTTCTGACCATCCACCTTCCGTCTCTGGGGGTAAAGGTCCGAGAAGGGCCTGGGGGGGGGAGGTGCAACCATCCTGGTCGGCATCGTCAGGCCCTGGGCCGTGGGGAGATGGGGGAGTTCCGAACAGCTGCGTTGAAGGAATACCCCGCTGAGCTGTGCAATTTGCTCGCTCGATGTATGTGGGAAGGGGTTGAGGCCAGGACGAGGGTCGGCCCTAGGACTTGGGAGGTCCCTCAAGAGGCTCTCGGGTTTGTATATCCCCCTTGACCCATACTGTGAGTTCGAGCGCAAGCATGACTGTGCCCGAAAGTGGGGCAGAGATGACAGCTCCAGCGAATCTGGCGGCGACCGCTAAACGGCGGCGGCGGGTGTGAGGAGGCCCCGCTTCGCGCCCTGGCGCGAGCCGCCGCCCGCCCGCACACTATCATCTTGCAAGCTGTATTCGATACGCTTCGAACATTCCTCATGCTGGAAACCGTAGAAACCGTAGGAGGAGGAGGAGCAGGAGGGGGAGGAGGAGGAGGAGGAGGAGAGGAGGAGGAGGAGGAGAGGAGGAGGAGGAGGAGGTGGAGGAGGTGTGAGGAGGTGTGAGGAGGTGTGAGGAGGTGTGAGGAAGAAGGGGTGAGGAGGTGTGAGGAGGTGTGAGGAAGAAGGGGTGAGGAAGGAGACAGGAGGAGGAAGAGGGAGGAGGTGGAGATGAGGAGGAAGGACGAAGGATGAAAGGGGAGGCGGGAGAGGGGGAGGAGGAGGAGGAGGAGGAGGAGGAGGAGGAGGAGGAGGAGGAGGAGGAGGAGGAGGAGGAGAAGCAGGCGGAGAGGAGGATGAGGAGGGCGAAGGAGAAAGGAGCAGGAGGGAGGGGAGGAGGAGAAGGAAGGAGGAGGAGGAGGAGGAGGAGAAGCAGGCGGAGAAGAAGAAGAAGAAGAAGAAGAAGAAGAAGGACAGAGGGGGACTAGGAGGGAAGAGGAGGGAGGAAGAGGAAGCAGGAGCGGTCCGCGGTCCCCCTCTTCCCTCTCCAATTCCGGCGGCCGCCTTGAGGCGGCGCCCGCAGGCTGGCCCCCGAGCAGGGAGCTCCGCTCGCCGAGGAGGTCCTGAGAGGAGGGGTGCGGCCAGGCTCATCTGCTTCCTCTGCCTCCCTGCCTCCCTGCCTCCCTCCTCCCTCCCCCACTCCCTCCCCTCCCTCTCTCCCTCCCTCCCTCCCTCCGTCCCTCCTCTTTCTCCTCCTCCTCCCTCCTCCTCCTCCTCCTCCTCCTCCTCCTCCTCCTCCTCCTCCTCCTCCTTCTCCTTCTCCTTCTCCTTCTCCTTCTCCTTCTCCTTCTCCTTCTCCGTCTCCTTCTCCTCATCATCCTCTTCTTCTTCATCTTCCTCTTCCACTTCCTCATCCCTCGCTCGCTCGCTCCATCCCTCACTTCCTCCCTCCCTCTCTCCCACCTCCCTCCTAGCTTATCCTTCCTCCCGCCCTCCCCTCTCCGCCTTCCTCCTCCTCCTCCGCCTCCTCCTCCTCCTCCTCTCCTCCTCCTCGCTCCTCCTCCTCCTCCTCCTCCTCCTCCTCCTCCTCTCCTCCCCTCCTCCTCCTCCTCCGCCTCCTCCTCCTCCTCCTCCTCCTCCTCCTCCTCCTCCTCCTCCTCCTCCTCCTCCTTCTCCTCCTCATTCTGAAAACCCCGCAGTGGGGGCGCAGCGCCGTCAGCGCCTCCCTCACCCACCGACGCATGCACACCGATCGCGGCCGGGCCCGTTCTGAGCCCAGGATGAATGCACGCGCGCCCTCCTGGCCCGACCAGGGAGGCACGCGCACCGAGCCGGGGGGCCCCGCGCCACCGTGGCCGGGGTCGGTGCCTCCGTGCACGGGCACGCTGCTTGTCGCCAGGCCCTTTTCGCAGGGGAGGGGGGGACGCAACGAGGGAGGGGGAGGGAGGGAGGGAGAAGGAAGGGCGAGGACGAGGAGGGCATTGGATTGCGACGCGCATAGTACTCCGAAGACTGGCGGCTGCCGCATGAGATGATAAGCGGCTCTCTGGCGACGCGTCCTCCTGCGCCAGCCGTCCCCGCTCCGCAGCGGCGCAGTCGTACGTCAGCGCGCAAAGGTCATCCCAGCGCAAGGAGAGGAGGGGGGTGAGATGAGAAGGAAGGGGAAAAGAGAGGGCAATGGCGTTCAACGCTGTTTTCGGCGCGTGCCTGGGGGATCACGGGGGAGGGGAATCCTGCGGATTCTAAAGGAAGTTGACATCCTGATGCTCATCCTTACGCTACCTCCACGAGCTCCTTATCATCCTCATCCTGTTCCTCCTCCTTATCATTATGGTGATCCTCCTCCTTTTCTTCCTCCTCCTCCTCTTCCTCTTCCTCCTCCTCCTCCTCCTCCTCCTCCTCCTCCTCCTCCTCCTCCTCCTCCTCCTCCTCCTCCTCCGCCCATCTTCCTTATTCTCCCCTCCTCACAGGGGTCGCATCGTGCCTCCCTCGGTGCCTGAATGCGACGGGGGACGGAGAGCACAATGCGAGGCCAATTTTATGCACCACCACCGCCCGCAACAGTAATTTACTGGAAAAAATAATTAGGGGCAGGGCCATGCCAGACGACGCCGCGACGCCACGGCGAAAAGGAGCGCGGCGCAGCTCGCAGGCGCCGTGGCATGGGGAGTTCCTGGATCAGAAACAGCACTTTTTGGTGGCGGTGTATAAAAATCGTTCCTCTTGGCAAGCAGCATTTTATACACCACCACCGCGCGTGTTTTGATGAATTCCGTCTCGGTCCTTACGAGAGAGGAGGCAGCCCGTTTGCCGTTGGCGGCGGAAGGGGGGCTGCAGGCTTTTGTTTCTCGCCAAAACAAAACTGCTCCAAATCGCATCGTAGATTATTCTCGATCTTGGTGGTGGTAGTCATATACTGTGCTCGGACACAAACACCCAAATCGAATCGAAACAAACCTAGGGTCACTCGGACACCACGCGCCAGCACCCACTAATGCGCGGCATCCGCCCTGAAGCTGAACAGGCTCGCAACTACTGTCTCATCCTGCGGCCGAAGCCCCAGCATGACTCCTCGACAAGGCAAAGTTTACTCCACCATGTGTGGGGAGCGGGCCGCCCGTGCGCCACCTGCACTGGGTGCCGCCTACTTCATAGCTGTGATGCCTCTCGCCGGCTTCGGGATGGCGTTCGTTTCTCCTCAGTATGCCCCTGCCGCTGCCCCGGGCCCGCGGCGTGCTGTCCGGCCGCTCAGTGGCCTCGCCGCTGGCGGTCCGCCCTGGGGCCGCCTTCGCAAGTGCTGCAGCGCCAGCGCACTCTGCCCCTGGCCGCCGCCGGTCCCATTGCCGCAGCCTCTTCCCGCCTGGCACCGCGGTTCTCCTGCCGCCTGCTGCTCCCGCGCCCCCCACTTGCCGGGCCCCGCCCGCACTGCGGCTGCTGTCCCCTCCCCTGGGTGCTCCGCGACGCCCCGCGACAGCTGCCGAGGGCGGCCCCCAGCCCGGCCGCCCCCCGCGCGGTCGCCGCAGCCCCGCTGCGTGAGAGTGCCCCCGCGCCCGGCTGCCCTCTCCGCGGCCGCCCCCCCGCCTCACACCCCCACTCTTGCACGCTTCGCGACGCCGTGTCCTGGTCTCGCCAAGACGCGCGAGCGGACTGCTATGCCGCGCTGCGACGTAAAAAGTGCGTCGGGGAGGCGAGATGCGAGGATATCGAGGCAAAAGGAAGGGCCCCCGCTGGACAGCGGCGGCCGGCCGGGCAAAAAAAACAATCCGCTGAGAGTTGTTGCGATGTGCGGCTGATGTGGAACAGACGGGGTTGTGTCTAAAGCTGCACAGGGGCGCCCATACTTGCATCATTCGATATCCGGAGAACCTCCCTAACTGATCGGCGATTGATTACCCGAACTGTGATCGCAAATGTATAGTTACAGCTTGATTCCTTCACTGCCCTAGGATTAGGGTGCTGGGGGTGCTAAGGAGCTGTCCAACCTTCTCCCTCCTGAGCCACCGCCTCCAACCTGCTCCGCACTACTCCTTATCATCCTTCCTCCATCGTCGCGGAGATGAATGAAAAAGGAAAAGGCGGGCAAGATAGTGAGGAATGGTTTTTAGGGATTGCCTCTGGCGTTCAAGGAGGTTTCTCCTCCTCCTCCATCCATCTATCCCTTCCCGCATCGTCGTCTTCCTCATCATCCTCCTTCTCCTTCTCCTCCTCCTCCTCTTCCTCCTCCCTACTTGCAAGTGAGACAGAAATACTACGACGACTGTACAGCACTGTTGATAGTAGACGGCCAGCGCTGAAGTGCAAACGCCGCCCGACGGCGGATAGTTATTGAGCCAAACGCCAGCGGTTGCACAGCAACCTGGTGCCCTTAATCAAAACACGCCCCATCGACACAAACGGTAACAAGCAGTATGGCGGGATCTCCGCACTATCTTGATTTGTCACAGCCGCCCAATCGTAAGCATTTACTTGAAACTACCTAGGGGAAATGGAAAGCAAAACGCGACAAATCTTGGAGAGAAAGGATGAAAGTACTCTACTTATGCCTCAGGAGAGCTCTCACGAATAATCCTGGGAGGAGCTTTCAGGACCCGTCCTATTCACCGCCGAAAGAACAGGGGGGTCAAAACTAAAGACCTTTAGCGGCCAATTGCCACTCAGGGCTTCCTGGGCCTCACGGATGTTGACCTCGGCCGTTTCCCTTTACCCTGGGCTTTGCCCGCCTCGATGCGCGCGAAGTTTTCCTCGCGGTTGCGCTTCCTGGTGCACCGGCGCGCCCGCGCGTCGTGCCACACGTAGCGGTGATCGTTCCAGGCGTTATCCTCCTCCTCTACATCCGCCTCCTCCGCCTCCTCCTCCTCTTCCTCCTCCTCCTCGTCCTGCCCCAACCCCCATGTATTCCACCTGGTTAGGTTTTGGCTTCTTCTTGGCTGACTGGTCGGTGGTCCCGCCGAACCTGCCGAAGCCTGGGTGATGGACGTTTGGTGCGACCCACGCCAAGTTACGGCTCCCCTGTCTAAGGGCACTGGCTATGCCCGAATGGGAATTGATAGCCCAAGACTGCCGCCTCCCTGCCACCCCTGCTTTGGAGGAGCAAGAAACTGCATAAACATAAGCTTTCGACGGTCCGCGCGGATTTCTTGGATCTGCGCTGGGACCCCCCTCCTCCCTGGCGCGCGGAGCGCGCCAGGGGCGGCGCCAGAGGCGCCGCCAGGGGGGTCCCATCGCAGGTGCAAGAAATCCGAGCGGACCGCCAACAGTTTCTGCTTATGCCGTTGCTTCTTCTTCTTCTTATTATTATTATTATTATTATTATTATTATTCGGCCCTCTCTCGCGCGTGGGCCGATGTCGCACCCGCCGTTCCTCCTCCGCGCGCGGCGGCCCATGCGCCCAGCGCCTCATCTGGGCGCTGACAGCGGGGAGGAGATCCTGCGCGTCGCCTTGGGAGGAGCGGCCGCCCGCCCTGGGCCGCCCGTGCACGAGCTCTCGTGGTGCGAGGAGCACAGCAGGCAGGCAGATCAAATCGAGATCTGCGAATCGTTCCTCCTCGACCCTCCCTGCCTCCTCCTGTGCCTCCTGTGCCTCCCTCCCTCCCTCCACTCCTGGGCCTCCCGGCCCCTCCCCGCGAGAGGCGCCGCGCAGGCCACCAGGCGCCGGCGCGGCGTGGAGAGGGCCCGCCCTCCTGCTCCAGCCGCGCCGCGAAGCGGCGCACCCTGGCGTCGAAGAGCTCGCGCTCACTCCAGAAGGCCTCCAGCAGGCGGCGGCGGCGCCGGCGACGACGAGAACGACGACGACGACGACGACGACGACGACGACGACGACGACGACGACGACGACGGCGGCGACGGCGGCGACGACGGCGGCGGCGGAGACGACGACAGCTGACGGCGGCTGCGGCTGCGGCGGGTGCGAGAGGAGGGCGAGGGGCGAGCGCAGGAACGAGGGCGAGGAGGGGGCAGGGAGGGAGGGCGGGGGAGGGGAAGGCGGCGGGAGAGGAGGGGGCGGGGAGGCGAGGAAGGGGAAGACGAAGCCAGGACGAGGATAACATCGGGTGAAGGTAAATCGAGAATCTCTGAGATCCGACGGCTCTGGAGAGTGAATCGGGCGCCGCGGCCTTCTCAGAGCGTTCCAGAACGCTCTCGCCCTGGAACGGCTTGATCCTCGTCCTGGCCCCGCCCGAACCAGGCCGAGCGGAAGCGGCAGGACGAGCACAGCTGGGCCCGGAGTGGCCTGTCGTGTGCGCAGTGACATCGGCGTGTGCATCCGGAGCAAGCACTCACCAGCCTCTGCAGCACACGGGCCGGCGTGCCGGCGCACCGGCCACGCGCAGCACTGCTGCGCAGACCTGGGCAGACGGCTGCCCTGCTCGCGCGCTGCACACCACGCGCACGGCAAGTGCGGCAGCCGTTCCCGTGCTGGAGGCCTGGAAGCGGGCACCAACACCAGCACAGGGGGGGTGCGTCCACAGGGCGAAGACGATCCTAGATTTCGGTGTTGGTGGCAATGTTTCGGTCACCTTGAAGCCAGAATATTACCACAATCACCGAGATCGGGATCTTCTTCCCTCGGTGGAGGCACACCGCCGATATTGGTGTTGGTGTCAACCTCTAGGGCTGTGTGTCGGCGGTGTGCCTCCACCGAGGGAAGAGAAATCCCGATCTCGGTGATGGTGGTAATAGTCTGGCTACCAAGGTGACCGACATATTACCACCAACACCGAAATCTAGGATCATCTTCCCCCTGTGGAAGCAACCCCCTGGTGCTGGTTTTGGTGCCCATTTTCAGGCCTCCAAGGGCCAGAAAGAGGACGTGGCTTCCGAAACGCGCCGCCATTGGAGTAACGCGGCTGACGCCAAGCTTACGTCCCGTGGCAGCCGGGACGGCCGGCGCGGCCGCCACTGCAGCCGCCATACAGCGACATATGCTCTAAAAACCATTCGCAGGTCCATCAAGCGCTCCCCGAGGGAGCCGACAGCAGGGATGCAGAGGGGCAGGAGGAAGGAGGAAGGAGGACGCGGAGAAGCAGCAGTCCTGAACGCTCAGGGAAGATGTCGTTGCGGAGATGTCAAATCGTGGAAGAAGACTGGCGCTGCAGATTGCTGCGCATCCCGGGGCCTCCACACCACCCCAGAGCGCGCCCGAGGCCGCAGGCCCAGACATCCGGCGCCCGCTGCGTTGTCAGACCGCGGCTCCCCAGAAGTCTCCTCGATCCCCCCCCCCCCTCCTCCTCCTTCTCCTCCTCCTCGGTCCTCCTCCTCCTGCCTCCTCCTCCTCCTCCTCATCTTTATCCTCGGTCCTCTTCGATCCTCCTCGATCCTCCTCCTCCTCCTCCTCCTCCTCCTCCTCCTCCTCGCTCCTCGTCCTCCTCCTCCTCCTCGATCCTCCCCGATCCTCCCCCCCGATCAACATCGAAGGTCGATCCTCCTCACTCGGGCCCAGGGAACGGCTCGCCGTCCTGAGCGGTCTTGTAAACGGCACCGGGCCCCGGCAAGGGCGCGCCAGAGTCTCGGATGGGAGGGCAGAAAAACCGAGACCAGCACCAAACACATGCATTTGTTTCATTGGGTTCGGAGTTGTGGCCAGATCAAGCCCCTCCTGGTTCACCGGATCGCAGGAGAGCGAACTCGTTCGCAAGCCATGTCGCACGACACATCGGCTCAGCAGGGGGAAAAACCCTTGCCGCGCAGGATAAGCGGCAATCGTATACTACACCTAAGCAAATATGGGGTCAATGAAAAGGCCATATTGTTTGACAATTGCTTTCCGGATTGGCTGTCCGGGGAGAGAAAAGGTAAGCATCGCTTGGGAGGCCCGCCGGCAAAGCCAACCCGTGAGAGCCGAGCAGCCGGCGGCGATCGCCAGAATCCAGAGCTTCCCCGACGAGCCCATGGACAGTGGCCGCGGCGGAGGCCCGGGGCGGCCTGCTAGCCGAGCGCTCCGGATTCTCCGCCCTCGGGCCCAGGCCACGCCTGCAATAGGGGGAAAACAAACCTACGTCGCTTTTGACCACCCTCGCTTCCAAGAGATACCAAACGATGCCCAACTACGGCCCGTACTGGTCAGGCCGCCTGACGAGGAGGCGCGTGGTATGACTTGGTTTTGCACGGAAGCGAAAGCGGGGTAGGTAACTCACGCTCCGATGCAAAGGCCTCGCGGGGCCAGACACCCTCGGGGGGCTCCGCGCCAGGGGGGCACCCATGGTGCTGGTGCCGGCCGTCCGAGAATGCCAGCCTCGGAGAGACGGTGCCGGCAAGGATGACGAAGCAACAGCACACGCCCATACCCATAGAGGGGTCGGAGAGGGCTATGGGCGCGTGTTGCCGGATGGGGGTCCCCGCTCGAACGGGAGCGTTCCCCAGGGTCCCACAGCCCGCACCCATACCCATAGCCAGTCCTCCTCCCAACGACCCCCCTATGGGCATGGGTGTGTGCTGCTCGTTCGTCTCAAGGGAGGTGCCGCTGGAAGAGCGGGGGGGGGCGCACTTCCCGTGTGGGCGCCCGTGGGGCGAGGGGGGCCCCTCGAGGCCCGAGGGGACGCCAGGGCCGCCGCTCGCCGCGGGCCCCACCGAGCCCGGAGGCCGAGTGTCAAGACCCGTGGGGCTCGTACAGTCGGGGCGTTGACCTAAGGAACCCTAAAGAAGGAACGAGGCCCCCTTTTTTCCATAAGTTAAACTTCGATTTCCTATCGAAAACATTAAGACAACCTGCGGCAAGCTGTGAAACATTTAAGGAACGCGGAGCCCCTCCCCAACGAAAAGGGTTCCTTCTTCAGGGCCCCGACTGTGGGGCCCGAGGCCTCTCAGTGCCAATTGGGGCTCACTGGGGCGAAGAGGGGGAGGGCCCGCAGCGCCCTGCTTCCTTCCTCGACGTGTGCGTTGGCAGCGGGCAGGCGAGCGCGAAGGCACGGACGAGGGTGCGCAGCTGAGGCTCGGGATGCTCCTCTTCCAGAAGGATCGTGGAGTCGGTGTCGGGTTCTGGCGCGCCGATCAAAAGCCAAAAGCTGCCCGGCAAAGCGTCAGTCGTGCCATGTCCACGACGCGAGCAGGTCTTGGCGAGGAGACGAGGCACATAATAATATTACTGTACGATGTGTGCCTCTGGGACGCGCACGCCCGGGTCCGAACATGTAGCACGAACATGTCGCAGCGTGTCGTGACCCAAGCGGCATGTCCAGAACCACCTGCCACCGAGATTGCGCCAAGATTCCCGTGTGTCGGAAGAAAGAAGCGGGTGGAACCATAAAGTGGGAAGGCCTTGACAGAAGATTCGGCCTCCGCCCGCCCCCTGAAGGCGAAGGAAGATGGGAAACCGCTCGACTCTTGACCCAGGGAGGCGCCGGAAGTAGATTGGGAGGGACCTGGGAATCCAGAAAAATGCCTACACCCTGCGAAATGCTTAAGAAATTATGGGTTAAGAAATTCATAGTCTCAGAATTTGAATGAAAACCCAGAACTTCTATCAAAATCCTGGGATTTACATTGAAACATTAAGAATAATCGAGACTCTGACCGAAAACTCAAGTTTTCTTAAGCATCGCCTAAGGTGTACTCTCAGCCACCGACGGGGAGACGCGCAGACAGCGCAGGCACGTCTGGGTGCCGCCCAGGGGGACGGGCCTCCCGCTGCTCCGGCCGGTCGGAGTCGGGCCGCTGGGAGTGCGCCCTCACCGCGCCCTGGTTCTCCGCCCGGATGCTCGCGAGCTCCTCTTGGCGGCGCGCAGAGGGGGGCAGGGGGAGGGCTTCTCAGAAGCACCCTGCTGCTCAGAAGGCCCTGGCCTTACGTGTACAGAGGAGGCCCGCGCCTTCTAAGAAGCAGGGGTGCTCCTAAGAATGAAAGGGGCCCTGGGACACACAAATAAATAGACACAAAGAACAGCCGGCCCAACGGGCCAGGGCGTGCTAAGATCTCCGGTAACTGGTTAACAGTATTAACAGTATTTCTAGTTCGCGCGCGCGGGGCGGCCCCTGGGGGTCCCTCGGCGAAAAGTACCCCGACCAACGCCCGACCGCCGCCCGACCGCCGCCCGACCGCCGCCCGACCACCGCCCGACCAAGTCTACTCAGAGATGGTTTTCCTTCTGGGTGCGGCCTCTCAGGCTCCCCAGAGCGCGCTCAGAGTGCCCCAAGAGGCCCCCAAGACTGCCCAAGAGGCCCCCGAGACGCCCAAAGAGCGCTCGAAGACGCCGAAGATGACCCCAAGACGGCCCAAAAGGCCCCCAAGACAGCCCAAGAGGCCTCCAAGACGCCCCAAGAGCCTTCCAAGAGGCCTCCGAAGAGAGCCCCAAGAGGCCAAAATCGTTGATTTTCATTGGTTTTTTCGATGTTTTTTGTGTTCTGGCTTTTTCGGCTTCCGGACGCTCCAAGACGGCCCAAGAGGCCCCCAAGACCGCTCCAAGACGGCCCACGAGGCTCCCAAGACGGCCCCGGAACGGCCCAGGAGGGCCCCCAAGACGGCCCAAGTGCCGCCCAAGACGGACCAAGAGGCCCCAAGACGGGCCCAAGAGGGGCTCAAGAGGGGAACCGAGAACTGAAAAATCGAGCCCTCCGCCCCAGAAGGCGCCCAGGAGGCCCCAAAAAGGCCCCAAGAGGCCCCCAAGAGGCCCCCAAGAGGCCCCAAGAGGCCCAAAACGGCCCCCAAAACTCGGCTAGCCCACAACGGTGCGACAATATGGGCCGGCGGAATGAGCGAAGCGATTAAATAAATAGACACAAAGAACAGGATTCCCCCTATTGTCCAGTATTTTCTGGGTTTTCGTCTTCCCCCCCACTTCCCATATTTTCCCAGATTCTCTGGGGAATCGACGATGAATTGTGTCTGTGTGTTTTGTCCCTCCTGGAAGAAGCCCTCCCCCCTCCCCCCAACCCCCGTCTGCGCGTGGCTGCTCCTCGCCCCGACGGCGGGGAGCCTCGCACGTGCGGGCGCGGCCGTCGCGCGGGGCAGCCGCGGCGGCTCCGAGGCCTGTCGAGGCGCGGGCCTCTGCGGAGGCCTCCCGGGGGGGGCAGAACGCCCTGCATGCGCGCACAGAGAGGGGGCTGGCCGTGGTCGACGTGGCGCCCCAGGGCGGCCAAACCGACCACGACCACAGCCCGAGTGTTCCTGGCGAGGCCGGTGGGCTCTTCCCCGAGGGGCCCCTCCGAAAGGTGAGCTCGGTTGTGGTGGTTGTGGTTCCCGTCCGTGCCCGGAAAGACTTGGCCGGGAGCTTCCGGGGGTGACTTGGGGGAGGGGGAGGGCTTGGTAGAAGGAGGCTGCTTCTGACAAGGCGCTGGCCTTACATCTGTAGATGAGGCCCGCGCCTTCTGAGAAGCGGGGGTGCTTCGCAGAGACCTTCCCGTCTCCCCCTGCCCACCTCTGCGCGTGGCCGAACACACACACACACACACACAACATCAATGTCTCGTTACTCAGACAGCCCGTCAGCGTGCTACTGCTGAGCAGGTGCCATTAGGCTGTCCAACAAGCGAACGGGTGGCACGCACAGTCCGAAAGACGGCACGTCGCTCCTAGACTCTTATTCCCCCTCCCACTAGCCCCGTCTGCACGTGCCAAGAAGGAAGGGCTCCCCGAAGGGAAGGGCCCCCCGCGAGGGCTCCAGCAGGCCCCCCCTGGCGGAGCACACCTGAGCGCGCCCGAGGCGGCAGGCAGAGACACCCGGCGCCCGCTACGTTTTCGAAACGCGGCTCCCCAGAAGTCTCCTCGATCCTCCACCTCCTCCTGGCAAGAGGAAACAATACATAGTACAGTCAAGACGTGTATTAAGGACGGGTGACAAGGACGCAAGACCCTTGGAGGCCGAGGTTGGGTTTGTTAGGGCGGCGGGCGACCAGTGATAATGGCAAGGACGGGCCTCAGAGGCAAGGACACAAAGGGCACCCTAGATGAAGGCGCGCGTCCTTACTAGTGCACCAACACCTGGACCACGCGCGGGCGCCCCAGAGGATCAAGTTGCATTGGGTGCTGACGGGGACGGCGGGGGGGGGCCAGCACACTGCCCGCTGTGTGCAATGCCAGCACCCCACGCCATCCTCTGCAAGCAAGCAGTACAGAATGCGCGTTGCACCACAATCTGGATCATGCGCGGGTGCACACCACACACATAAAGTACACAATGCTTGCAACCCCGACGTCGCAGCGCATTGGTTTTGACAGGGATGGTGGGGGGTCGACATATTGCCCAATGTGGCGCACCTGGTGCGCGTGGCGCGCCCGGCAAGTGCGGCGCAGCTCGCGGGCGTTGCGCAGCTGGCTGGCATTTGCATTGATTCCCGAAGGCTGTCAATGGCGGCCCCTGCCCATGCTGAGACCCGGGTGCTGCTTATGTAGTGGGAGGGCGGGTTGGAGTGCCCGAGACAGCGTGCGGCGCTGCCCCTGGGAACTTGACCCCACCCCCATAGCTCTGCTCCTGGGGCTGGACAGGGCGCCCCGCGAGGGGTCAGAGCGTCCAGGAAGGCGAAAGATGGCTCTAAGTGAGCTCTAGATAGCGAAAAGATGGCTCCCAGGCCTGCCCAAGATAGATCAAGATGGCTGAACATAGACTCCGACGTAACTCCAAGAGGCTGCAAGATCGCCCCTAAGACAGCTCCAAGTGCCCACGAAGCCTCCCAAGGACGCCTCCAGAGAGGCCCCAAATCCGTCCAATACCGAACGAAAACATCAACGTGGTGTGCCTTGTAGCCGATTCGCTTCTGATTGGCATCTAATGCCTCACCATGGCCGCATGATGGCCTCCTACAAGAGCTCAAGATGGCCCCCAAACAGCCCCAAGAGCGCCTGCTAAGAGATCAAGAGCGCCCCAAGAGGGGGCCCGAGAGTCGATGTTTCGGCTTCCGAGGGGGAATGCCAATTTCAGCCTCCTTCCTTTTGGTCGATGGCCTCCAAGATGGCCTCAAAAGTCCCTCCAGGGCCACGCTAACTGCCCCGAGGGAGCCCCCAGAACCCCTCGAGGGCCTCAAGAGAGCCCACAAGGCTTCCGAAATGGTTCCAAGATGGCTCCAAAAGGCTCCGCGAAGTCTCGAACTGAACAATGCCTGACACCCATGCTTCACTACATGCGTACCTGCGCCCCTCTGACAAGGAGTTATCATGGGCATCGTATCTGGATTGGCTGGTGGGGGATACTTTTTGAGTCGCAGCAGCAGGCGAGCGCGCCGACAGCGTCAGTAGAGTAGCACGGGCCGCGAGCACCCTAATTGCCGGCGGCTGGTGGGGGATACGCGGAGCGGCAGGAATTCCCAAAGAGACCTACTTCCCCTCCTCCTCATCCTGCTCTCTCAGGAAGCGTGGATTACAGCATCGTTGATACTTGTTGGGTTTACTCTGGTCCTCCTCCTCCTCCTCCTCCCTCTCCCTCCCATCATCCCGCCCCAACCCTCTCGTCATCAGCAGCATCAATATTAGCATCAGCATCATCATCAGCATCAGCATCAGCATCATCAGCATCATTACCATCCATCAGCATCACCAGCAACAGCATCATCAACATTATCAGCAGCAGCATCATCACCAGCATCATCAACCTCATCCTCATCCCCATCATCATCCTCATCCACATCCTCATCATCATCATCACAATCAGCAGCACTATCACCATCATCAGCAGCAGCATCATCGCGTTTCTCTGTCCTCCTCCTCCTCCTTCTCCTCCTCCTCCTCCTCCTCCGCTTCCCTAATCCTCCTCCTGCAGGGGGCCGAATCCTCCTCCAGGCTGGAAAGCGCGCCGTCCAGCAGCGAGATGCGATGGGAGACCAACTCACGCGGAGTTCCAGGGTGCGCTGGTGCCTCCTCAAGCCGAGAGATGACGCACGCCTGCGGGGAGAGACTCATCCACATCCACCTCCACCTCCCCATGCTCCTGAAGCCTGTCATCCTTCTTCTCCTCCTCCCCATCCTCAGCATTCTCAACCTGCTCACCACCACTACCACCATCATCGTCATCAGCAGCAGCACACACCATCAACATCATCCCCACCATCGTCCATCAACACATCATCATCACTACCATCACCGCCATCACCACGACCAGCATCATGATCAATCACATCAGCATCATCAGTATCATCAGCATCAACAGCATCGTCATCGTCGCCATCATCGCCACTCTGATCAGTAACCATATCTTGATCAGCATCGTCATCATCTCAAGCAGCATCATCCTCGACATCATCATCACAATCGTCATTACCCTTAGCATCATCGCCAGCACCACCACCATGATCGTCATGGTCGTACGTATCGTCATCACCAGCACCATCAGCATCTTCATTAGCATCATCATCAGCATCATCAGCATAAGCATCATTACCATCACGACCACCACCATCACCATCACTAGAATCATCACCATTACCGTCATCATCCTCACAATGCTCCTGCAGAACATGATCCTCCTCCTCCTTCTCCACCTCCTCCTCCTCCTCCTCAATATCTTACCTCCTCCTTGTGCACCGATTCCAGCTCTTGCTGATCCTCTTCCTCCTCCGCCTGATCGTTCCCCTCCTCCTGGAGCTCTTTCTCCTCCGCATCCGCCCTCTGCTCCTGCTTCTGCTCATCCTGATCCGAATCCCTCCTCCTCCTCCTCCGCCTCCTCCTCCGCCTCCTCGTCACAAAAACGGCCGCTGGAGAACCAGAATCGAATCGGATGGAGCCCTGGCCGAGATTGGTACCGAGTCGCACCGATCGGATCGGACAGGAGTGGACCCGCCCTGCGCAGCGCCTGCGCCTCCCTGTCCACGTGCATCCAGACGTAGGACCCGCCCGGGGGCAGCTCGCGGAGCCAGTCGCCCGAGAGCAGGCCGCCGATTGTCGTAGTCGACGCCTTGCCTCGGGAGGACGACGACGACGACGACGACGACGACGACGACGACGACGACGACGACGGCGACGGCGACGACGACGACGAATTTGGGACCGACTGCGGAGGAGGAGGAAGAGCAGGAGGAGGAGGAGGAGAAGGAGGAAGAGCGCTTCCCCCCGCGAGAAGGACGAGGACACAGCCCGAGGGACGAGGCAACCCTGCGACTTCTGCGAGCCCCTCCGGGTCGGCGAGAACGAGATCGAGGAGATCGGTTCCTCGAGAACCACAGCCCTCGCGGCCTGCGCCCGCCCAGTCCGGCCCGAGCTCGTCCCCGCCCGCGGCCAGCCGCCGCGCCGCCCACAGCTCCCGCAAGAGCAGCACGGCCACCTTCTCCCGCGGGATCGTCCCCGCGGCCGCGAAGCGCCCCGGCCCTTCTTCATCCTCCTCCTCGTCCTACTCCTCCTCGTCCTCCTCCTCCTCATTCTCCTCCTCTTCGTCCTCCTCTTCGTCCTCGTCCTCCTCCTCCTCCTCCTGCCCCTGCTCCTCATCCTCATCCTCATCCTCCTCCTCGTCCTCGTCCGCTCCTCCTCCTCCTCCTCCTCCTCCTCCTCCTCCTCCTCCTCCTCCTCCTCCTCCTCCTCCTCCTCCCCGTCCACCTCCTTCTCGTCCTCCTCCTCCTCCTCCTTCTCCTCCTCCCCGCCCACCTCCTTCTCGTCCTCCTCCTCGTCCTCCTCCGCCTGCTCCTGCCTCCTCGTCCTCGTCCTTACCCTCCTCCGCCGCCTGCCTCCTCTCTCCTCCCCCGCATGCCTCCTCCTCCCTCCATGTCTCCTCCTTGCAAGTAAATCCTCCCCATCACACCGCCAGGCCTGTCAGTAGGGCGGGCTTGGCGTTTCGCCTGAGATGTTTCAGTACTGCTTCTTCTGGTGCTCACCACATATGACTTTGAAGCTTGAAAATTGCAACAATGACAAGGATGGAGCACAGATCGCGTCGAAATGTGTGTTTCTCGCCTTCGCGCCGCGCAACAGTACGGAGAGGGAGCGAAAATGGGTTTCGCGGTAGCGCCACATGTATTCGTTTTAAAAGGTAGCAAAATGATCTCGAGGGCGGTTCCTGCTCAAAGTGCGGTTTTCCAGTTTGCGCCCCGAAGATTCGCTTCAAGTTTGCCACATTTGCACCGGTAGAGGGAAGTCACGTTTCAGCATGTAGCGGTCGCTTCAGCGCCGCGCGCGTTTGTTTCAGACCTTGCAACAGGTACACGGAAGGACACGTCGTTTTCAACATGCGGCTGTCTCCTTCACGCCGCATTCGCCATTGCTCGCATGAGTTGCAAAGAAACTTGCAACAATTTAGATATGAAGGGCAGGTACGTTTCGACATGCAATTCTGAGATTAGGGCCGCGCGCACTCGCCTCAAAAGCTTGCAGCATTTGCACGGGTTATGAACGGTTCCTTTTCAAAATGCAGCTCTTGCCTCAGCGCCGCGAACATACGTCTCGAATCGTGCATCCGTGGCTGAGATAGGGCATAGATCGTGTTCAGTGTGTGGCTATCGCCTTAGCGCCCAGCGCAATCGTCGTGAAGTCTGCAACAAGATCAGGCGTGCAGGGCGGCTCTATTTTCGATGTGTGGCCTTCGCCTTAGCGCCACGTACGCACGTCTTAACGTTTGCAGCAGGCGGATAGACGGAGGGCGGCTCCTTTTCAAAAAGGAGCTCTCGCCTTCGCGCCGGGCGGGTTCGTTTCAAAGCATGCAGAACATGCGAGAGGTGAGCACAAGCCGCTGTCAAAACGGCGCTCTCGCCTCCGCGCCGGCCAAAATCTGTCCTTAATATTACAACACATGCAAAGGATGGGGGGCAGGTCGTCTTCAAGATGTGGCTCTCGCCTCAGCGCCTCGCGCATTGGAATTACAAGTCCGCAACAGCATTAGGAATGGAGGCCTACTCCCTTTTCAATGTGTGGCTTCAGCCTGAGCGCCACGCACATTAACCTCAAAAAGTTGGCAACAGTTCGATAGGTGGAAGGCGTTCCTTTTTAAAAAGGAGCTCTCACCTTCGTGCCGCGCCCATTCGTCTCAAAATCGTGCAACACATGCGAAGATCGAGAACAAGCCTGTTTCAAAATGGCGCTCTCGCCGTAACGCAACGCACATTCGTTGTCTGAACGAACCATCTTGACGGATGGGGGAAGGCTTCTATTCAAAATAGGGCTCTCGCTCTAACGACGCATAGCGGCAACACATGTAGCACTGCACGGAACCCGGGCGGCTCTTTTCCAAAATGGAGCACTCGCGTGAGACTTCCTCGAGGTACATCACCAACACTTGCACGGATGGGAAGCGGTCCTTTTCGAAAGGGGGACATAGCTGGACATCTCGTTATGACCTTAGTTTTTCGCGATCCTGATCCTGCCCTAGAGGAGTGGTGCAAGGCAGGCATAGTTCCTATTGTGAGCTCTCGGCGAAAGTACTCACCTTGACGCAGAGTTCTCTGTTCCCACCACGCGAGCGCCAAAGAGCATCCCTTGCCAGGACAAAAAGGAAGGGGGTGACGGACAAGAACGCACACCATGGACGTTAGCGGCATGTTCGAGAGAACGCGTGTCGCGGACGCTTACCTGGGAACTTGGGCGACACACCATGACTGGGGGGTCTCCCAACCCAACCACTCGACATCCGGCGCGCCCGGGAAAAGAACGGAGGGACCCCCTCACCCCCAGACCCCCCTCCCAATCTTTGCCCCCCACGATCTGATTCCAAGGCGGAGGGTGGCTCTAGGTCGGGCATGTCCTCCCACAGGCGGATTTTGTGAAAGAGCAATAGAAAATAGTTAAAACATACTCGTTTTGGTAGATGATAGTACTAATCATCGTCACCAGGCTATTTTTGGACTGTTGAATGTCTTGCTGTCAAGGGACACGCCCGATCTAAGGGTGAACGAACTCCCCCCTCCCGACGCCGACACCGACGACGACGGCGACAACGTCAGCGGCGACAACGGCGCACCTGGCGCCAGTGCCGGCACAAGGGGGGAATCGACCTTCCTCGCCGCTGACAAATCATCATCATCATCATCATCAGCAGCATCAGCATCACCACCACCGCCACAATCATCATCATCATCATCATCAGCAGCAGCAGCAGCATCATCATCAGCATCGTCGTCATACGCATCATAGATATCATCATGATCATCAACAGCGCCAGCATCAGCAGCAGCATCAGCCTCAGCCTCAGCGTCAGCATCAGCATCAGCATCAGCATCATCATCATTCTCATCATCATCATCATCATCATCATCATCAGCATCATCATCATCATACTCACCATCATCATCATCGACAGCATCATCGCCGTCAGCATCACCGACATCACCTTGTACATCACCAGAATCGCCACTGTCACCATCATCATCATCATCATCATCATCATCATCATCATCATCATCATCATCATCATCCCTACCCTTGTCGTCATACATCGCCATCACCATCACAATCAACAGGTCGGGCGTACGGGACATCTAAGTGTGGTGCATGGTAGAATTTGCACGCGAGCGCTCTAATGGGCGGGTCGAGCCGGAAGACCCTAACGGTCGGGTCGGGTCGGATCATCACCATCATCATCAGCATCATCATCAGCATCATCACCACCACCACCATCCATCTCCTCATTCCTATCCTCATCAAGATGATCATCAGCAGCATTAGTAGCATAGTCATCAGCAGCAGCAGCATCGTCATCGACAGCATCATCAGCATCACTGACAGCATCACGTCCTTCATCTTCATCATCATAATCATATGACCATCACAATCACCATCACGACCACCATCACAATCATCCTTACCATGCTTACCCTCGTAGTCGTCATCGCCATCACCAACACAATCATCCAGTGGGGCCGGCAGGACAGTAACGTATGGTACAAAATCAAAATGGCACGCGAGAGCCCTAACGGATGCGTTAGGTCGGGCGGGCGGGACATTCAACAGGTCATTGTCATCATCGTCATCATCACCATTTTTGATAATCACCATCATTAGGAGCAGCATCATCGTGGTCGTCATCATCAGCAGCATCATCAGCATCGTCGAGGTCGCCCCCGTCGGCATCATCATCATCATCATCATCATCATCATCATCATCATCATCATCACCATCATCATCATCATCGTCATCATCATCATCCTCATCATCATCGTCATTATTAGCATGACCATGAGCATCAGCATCAGCATCAGTATCCTCCTTCTCCTCATGATCATCATCAGCAGCGTCAGTATCAGCATCAGCCTCAGCGTCAGCGTCAGCATCAGCAGCAGCAGCATTAGCGTCAGCATCAGCATCAACAACATCATCATCTCCATCATCAGCATCAGCATCATCAAAATCGTCATCAACATCATCATCATCATTGTCATCATCACAATCGTCATCGTCATGGTCATCGGCATAGTCATCATCGGCATCAAAATCGGCATCGTCATCCTCATCCTCATCATCGTCGTCATCATCATCACCATCATCCTTACCACCATCATCAACATTAACTACAACACCACCATCACCCAATCACCGCCACCACCACCATCACTACATCAATACTCACAATCACCATTACCATCATCACAATGCGGGTGGAACATGAAACGGGTAATCGTCATCATCAGGATCGTCATGATCAGCATCATCTCACCATTGTCAACCTCGACATCATCATCAACACCTCCACCATCACCAAAACCACCCCCACCGCCACCGTCGCCATCACCCCGACCACCATGACCACCACGGTCACCATTCTCGTGATGACGATGACGACGATGACGATGACGCTGACGATGGATGGTTTGCCAGCGGCGAGAGGGGGGAGAGGGCGATCACCCCGTGTGCCAGCACCGGCGCCTGCGCCGCACCCGCCGCCGCCGATGACGTCGTCGCCGTCGTCGTGGTAGGCGTTCTTCGCTGGCGACGATTGAAGGAAAGTGGAGGGAGAGGGGTTCGAACAACCCCCCCGTGGAATGGGAGGGGTTTTCGAACCCGCCCCCTGGAGGAGGGGGGGGTGAGGGGGAAGGTTCGGCTCCCCCCCATGTATTCCAGGGGTGGAAGAGGGAGGTTCTGAACACCCTCCCCCCCCCCCAGTATCCACAGAATGCGATGTTCGGTATCCAACGCTGTTCAGCATCTGATGTGTTATCCTAAGCATAATTCGCTTCTTTGAAGGAATCGCTACACACGTGCGCGAAACTGTTTTCTTGCCAGAACCACGAGATAAAAATGCTGTATCGCTTCCCTTTCCAAACCATCATGCGAATGTGGTGGTATACGCTAGTGTGTAAAACTTGAACGATTGCTGCGCAAATCTATCGCACCCAACTTGTGTAGCCAAATGTCAGAGCCCCGTGTTACGAGGGTAACATCACAACCGTTGGTGGTAATGGCTAAACTCATT